AAAAAAAAAATGCGTGCTGTTGGAAAGGAAGTTTTATTTTATTTTATTGTAATCTCTTTGTCTTCAACTTTGACACTTATAATCGTTTAAACTACTATTCAAAAAAAATACCCTAAAACGACACTTTCAATTAAAATGTTTTAAAAAGAAACAAATTGCGCTACTGTAGATTATTTTGCGCCAACGCCAAAATTTGGACTAAGCTAGGCTTGGCAGCACTGGCTAATCGGACCATGAGAGTAGAGTCGGAAGCTCGATCAATCGGACTGTGGCGTGTAAAATATCACTTTCCCCCGAGCTACGGCGCTTGACCAGGTTTCTGTTTAATGCGCTCTCTCCTACGGAATGCTCGCTATAGGACCTAGTACATTACGTTATTCAATATTCATGAGCCCTCAAAAATTATTAAAAAAAAACACTAAAAGTAATGATACATTAACCAACTATTTAAATAACGTACCTGCACTAATTGGCATGCATAATACGCATTCACTCAGACCGTTGGATTGTAATTAAGTATTCTCTTAAATTTAGCATTAGATTTCAAGCCGTTTGTAAATTAAAATTATATAATACGCTCAAGCAACTCAAAATAAATATATGATCTGTGGACACAAACTATTTACGTTTTTTATATCATATCATAGGTCTCATCTACTTACCTAATTTATTCAGCAGAATAAACCTTTAATCAGGCGTTTTATTTAAAAAAAGGGGTTTCCTTTATATTTGTGAAACAAGCGTGACACTGAAAGTTTTTTAGAACTCGCCACTTGTAAACGATATAATAAAAAAATAAGTTCAAATTTTGAAAATGGAACTCGGAACTCTTTGCCAATATTATTGTGTATGTATTTTCTTAATTTGTCATTTGTTTACGATTTGGCGGCAAATTGAAAATTGTCTGCGTCACGTCAGCATGAATTTAATGCGAGAAAATTTTCGTACAATGCTTTTTTATGACTTTCGATGTCATTTAAGTTAACAAGAAAGTTATGATAGACTTCGATTGGCCTTTCACGATGAAGCCCCATCTCGTGCCACTGTTTACAAATGGTTTAATGAGTTTAAACGTGGTCGCACTAATCGCACCGATGATCTGCGTGAGGGAAGGCCTTCTACGGCGACTACTGAAGATAGCATCAGTGTTGTGCGGCGTTTGATAGAGACTGACAAAAGAGCAACTTATCAGCAGATTCGGACAAGCTTAGGCACCGGTATGAGTCAAGTCCACAAAATCCTCCATGAACATTTAGCAGTCAGAAAGCTTTGTGCCCGGTGGATACCTCATAATTTGACAGAGGCCCAAAAACTCCGTCGTGTTGATTGGTGTCGTGGAATGGTTCAAACATTTAATGGAGGAGACTCAAATGCTGTGTTCGATTTATTGTTATGATCCTGAAACTAAGAGACAGTCTGCTGTCTGGGTCTTTCCTTCCGAGGAGTTGTCAACTAAAGTGAAGAGAAGTCGAAGCGTGGGAAAAAAGATGGTGGCCTCGTTCTTCGGAAGGACAGGTCATTACGCAACAATTGTTATAGAGGATCGTAAAACAGTTACTGCAGAGTGGTACACTAACAATTGTTTGCCCACTTGTCTTCAAAAAAGTTCGGGAGAAACGACCACGCAGTAGGATCCTCCTTCATGTATTGATGTTCGTTCAGTTTTTGATTTTCTAAGAACTTTCAGTCTCACCCTCGTATGAACCCAAAAGCTTAAATCTAGCTTATTTTATTTTTTATTTTATATTTATATGTGAAAAAGATTAAAAATTTAAATTAAAAATTTATCTATTAATAAGAGCCATTTGTGGTGGACTCTACCACATGGCATAAGTTTTTAAAAGGACTTGTGATTCATAAGTTAGATAAATTATCAAGGGAGACTGTTTTGTGTAAACGTTTTATCATAAAATTAATCTTAAACAAACAATATTTTTGTCAGTCCCTGGATGTATACACCTCAACCCCTAAAAAGGAAATTTAAATTAAAAAATATGTTTGAACAAAATAAGACTGTGCCTTTTAAATACTGTAAAATAAACCCATTTCCAAACACAAAACATTTTGAAAAGGCTGCATGATATAAATAGTTGACTTATCAATGTTTGTTAATTTATTATGACTGCCATGTTGGTCTCAGAAAACTCTAATAAAACTATTAAAACATGTTAAAAAGACTGTGGTTGCCAACTTTCCTGTTTTAGGAGTGGAAGCCTGTTGTCCAGCAGTGAACATTTGATAAGCTGTAAAAAAAATAGTTTAATTTCAAATTACTCAAAATATTAAAAGCTGCGGTTGTTTACCTTAAACAACCTAATACAAACCGTAAAGCAACTATGACAATTTTTTTTTAATATGTGTTTTACTCCCTCCCCCCCCTAAGCCCCGTGTCGACACAGTAGGATTTCTTCATATTTTGTGAAGGAGGTTTACATAAATAAATTGTACAAGGACACATGTCACTGGAACAATTGTATGTAGGCCACACAAACACTTATTCCAAGCAGGAATCAGGCCTGCGGCCCTGCAACACCTGCAGCACCACAACCAAACACTTAGCCACTTATTCATTTCATATAAAAAAGATCATTTTTTATGCTCATATATTTGTTTTAAAATGGTGCTGAAGTAAGAAATATGTTAAAAATAGATTACATCAAAGGTATAAGAGATAGAAGGTAAAGTGTGAGGATCTTTTTTGCGTAAGCTCTTAGCTGTACTTCTTCATTTATATATATAGCACTAGCACTACTACTATATAGCACTAACTTGCCCGCGACTTAGCCCATGTGGGCGAATTTGTTACGATTGAATTTCATGGGTTTTAATTTTTTTGTGTGGAACCCTATTTATTTTATTAAAATAAAAGTAGTCTAAGTTACTCCTCATAACATCAGCTATCTGCCAAAATGTTTACAGAACACAGTGTGTTACAAGTTTATGCTATGTCACAGTGCTGGGCACAGGCCTCCTCTAATTTCTGATAGGATTACGTAATGTGATAATTAGTAGCTTAATGGTTTTAAACACGGTCTGAAAACAGAACTGACATGTCATTTTTCTATGTTAAGGAAGCATTATAAATCATAATAGTTCAAAAATATACACATTGCATTTTCAATATGTATTTGGCAACATTCCATGTTTTTGGGCATCCAAAATAATCTCAGTTGTTAATTGGGTTTATTTTTGATAATATCATAATAATAAAAATACTAAAAATAAAAATCATTTTTATAATAAGAATACAAATAAGCTTATGATGCTTGCTTTAGGAGTGGTCCACAACAGTAGTTAAATAGCAGATTCGAACCCACAACTCTCTGAGTTTTCAGTCTGTGTTTTAACCATTAAGCTACAATTAGGTAATAAATTATTAAAATAAAAACATAAAATAATATGTATATATTTAATGTATCTAAATATTATAACTGAGCTGTGTCAGTTATTTATATACACAGATTAATGTTAAAGGCAAACCTATTTAATATTCTTTTAAATCTTTGATTAGTGTATTAGGCAAAAAAGGTCCTGTGATATAACAATTATCATATTAATAATATGATATGATGAAAGCAATTTGTAAAACATCATAAAGAAACTTGCATGTTATGTTTTTGTAAGATAGGGTGACAATCAAGCACACAGTCCACTTGATGGTTAGTTGTTGCTGTGGCCCATAGAAATCTACATCCATCCATCATCAAAATGCAGATACATTATCACCCATGTGGACTAAAATAGAATACCTCATTCCAGTAAAAGAGGTCTCCGGTTCTCTACACACACCATACAAAACACAGCAGCATTAAGCTGTTGTTATACGCTGGTATTCTGTGAGAGTGTGGTTGTACTATCTTCTAGCCCACCTATTCGTGCTACAACTATACTACTATACATGTATAAAATGGCCAAATACTCCAGGTAAATACAGGTGTCACAGTCACTTTGACTTAAAGTGATAGAAACAGCACAAGACTTAACGGCAAACTTAACCTTTTTCCCGTCCCATGAATCATATATGAATATTTTAACTGTCTAACTATTGTGTCTATTTTGCGGACAGGAAAACTGTTAAAATTGAATTTCACAGACTGGTGAATTTTGCCATCATGCATTGGAGCAGTGCAGAGGACTAATTGCTCCATATTTCCATCAGAAATTAAACGAGGCCTGTGGCCAGCAGTGTAATGTAACATTAACTTGTAACAGTCTATGTTTCTGTAATTTTTTACAAAAATTCAATTATTATTAAAAGCAACTCAACTGCAGTGACCTATTATTATTTTGGAAAGAATTGCACTGATGTTACTACTATAAAATGTAGTTTATACCAAACCTCTATTTATTTGCTTATTGTCTAAATTTTTACTTAAGTTGATTGTCATTTTTATTACGATCTGGTCATATTGTAATATTTATATTCACTAAGAAATGTATTTATTGAAATAAATTTGTACATAAATACAAAAAAGTAGTAAAATTCAACTAAGGTAGACGACAAAAATTAGAAAAACGATAGATTCATATTATTTTATCAAAAAGGCCACGCGACTATGTTTATCTTATTACACGGACATGTATTATTGTATTTCTGTAATAACTTTCCTCAACATTTTGACTTTTTAGAGATATGACAATCTAATATAGGGTATTGTGTAGGTAAGAAAATATAAGTTATTAAAATTACATTGGACTTTACGAATAAATAGTACTAACAAAACTACTGTAAATGACCTAAATACCGTATACATAAGTTTAATTATAAAGTATAAAATACTTTAATGTGCTTGCACAAGGAATTTATGATTAAAAAATCGCCACGAATATTAGGTATAATAAAACACGATATCTTTAAAATATGATGGCACGTTACAAAACCGAACGGCAATAATATTTGCCAACACCTCAAAATGTTCATATAGGCAGACTGCGCGTGCCGTGTTGACTGAGTACAATAAGCAGATCGCGCATATCAACACATGCAAATATAATTCTACCTTTATGATTAGCTCGATCTCCGGTACGTCTCCATTCGCAGTCCCATTCTCGGCAATTTCATCCGACATCGTGAACTTTATAAACACTCGATTGTATAAGTATTTAATTCGAACGCACAATATCACACAACCGACACACTATCAAAACACCGACTGACTGATCCATAGACAAAGAGTATAATCAATGCTGTCCAAAGAGTATAGTAACTAGGAATCCATAGAGCAGAGCATAGTTAGTATAGACTCAGATTTTTTTATTACTGGCTTCACGGTTCTGGGTTCTAGCCTGAAGTTACAATGTATAAAGCCCGCGTTTCACTATTGGATATAATGTAATATATAATATTATATCTCGAGATATAAATTAATATCGCTCACCGTACTTTTTAATGGAACTGTTTACACTGAGATGTAATATATATTACATCTCATACTATTCAATGACGAACGCACACGCTTAAAAGATATATCTCACAGTGTGAAAGCCAATCGTGGGATATAATATATATTATACCCCATAGTGAAAAGCGACCTTAACTATCTTTCATAGTACACTGCTTTACAGTATGTTAATGCGTCACATTGTGCAGCCCTTGGGAGATTTTGACGGCAACTTGAGCCAACAGACAGCTGACAGTTGGCGATGGTATCTCAAGGCGCCTAAGCAAACAGATACCTTATCTTGAGAATCACATCACCATCAGAGCACTGGTTTCACCGTTTCCACTAATAGTTCACATGCGTAGACACTTAATACAGAAGATCGTACCACTATTACATATCAAAATCCACTTCAAACCATTATTTAAATAATAATACAAGAACAGCTATCCTCCACCATTCAAGTTCCCGCAAAAACTCCCATAGACTCAGAGAGAGAGAGTAGTATTCAAAGAGTATATTAAAATCACTACGTTTTAGGTTCTATTTTGTATACTTATCTCTGCCACCAGTAATAGTGTTCTGTGGTCTATTGTGATTATAGGATAATACTTAGATGAAAAATTATTTATTCGAGTTTCATGTCTGCTGAAAGTTTATAGAAGCCACTCATAGGTACATGGAAGCATGGAAGTAATTAAAGGCCTCCTACATCTGTATGGAAGGTACAAGAGTACATTAGATTGATGGTAAGTCCTTGAACGTATTCAATGTATGTAATGTCCTACAGACCAAATTTCGGACACGGCGGCTAGCCTTAACGGAGACTAGCCATCGGTGCAGGACAGGATTATATTGCCTGCAGGTGCACTATTTATTCCTTCAGTCTCATAGTCCGATGCACAAACTAACAAAGGAATAAAAAGTGCTAGCGCAGTCCGATGGGACGGAAAAAACGACACGACCAGAGAGAGATCAGGTGCAGGACCAACGGCTTTACGTGCTTTCCGAGGCACAGAGGTGAAACACCGCCAACTTACTGACTCCGGGCAGCTAAATGCAGGCAATAAAAACAATTTTATAAAAAGGAGCCATTCCTACATTATTTGTACCAGTAAGTATGATATTGTTATATTATTAAAACGTTAATAATTAGATAAAATAGAGATCGATTTTAATATATGATAAAACTTTAGTAGATTAAACATAAAAAATCTTGACATTATCCTATTTAAGACATTATGAACCCAACTATTAACTTTCCATTTATCAACCAAAAAATGTATAACCTTTCTTAACCACCCATACCTCACGGTCACACAGAGAGAATATTCATAGCATCACGCTATTCTCCACAAGGGGTTGCGCGGAGCTTCGGATTATATTCCCAAGTCTCAATGATAAAACTTTTAGCGTAGTTAGATATAATATATTTAGTAATGGTCTTGAAGTGCGACTAGACACCCGCGCATGAAACGCCGAGGGCTTATATAGGTGGTTCATCACCTATAGCATCAGACGTAGAGAAGAGGAACTAGTGGTTAAGTAACATCTGCGAGGATCAGTAGAGCTGCGTGATTAAGCTGTACTTGCCACGGTCTATCCATGGAAAGGTGACTCTGTTAAGATAATTATGTTTTTAAAGTTCATGCAGCTAAAATGATAATAAGTGTTTATTATTACTTCGTAAGGACAGATGAAAGAGGGAGTAGCCTCATCGTATGTTAATCGTGACATAACTCCTCTTGCCTGGCTTTTAAACAGAACAAGGTTATTTTTGTTGGCATGCAAATTATATAATAAATTAATAAATAAATAAATAAATTTAATTAATTCCTACAAGTTTCCTTAATTAAATTATTTACTATATTTTCATATTTAAGTCGGATGTTATAATAAACTTTTATAATGTATATAATTATTAATAGTAATATTTATATGGAAAATAAAGCAGCCATTATGTACTCCGTGTCCCCGTTTTTATGACCAGCAAAACATTTTATAAAATAGGTATATAAAATATAAATAGGTATATACTTAACTAAGTATTTACCTATTTATATTTGATCAACATTAAGTTAAAAAGAAGTTCCGGGGATATTTTTCATGGTAGTAAATATTTTTCTCTCAGGTCATAAGTTCAAAAATACAACATTTCGATCTGATTTTGCGGAAAATTGTTTAAGTTTATTGGTAGACTCACCTCTTCAGAGATTATTGGAATTTTGTACATTTTGAATTAAAATATAACATAAACAAGTGCCGATGAAATAACATCCACTACCGCATATAATCCCATGGGTGTCGTAAGAGGCGACAGAGGGAAATTTATGCAGGTGATGGGCAGCAGCATCTTCCTAATAACAGCTCAAAATATTAGAACTATCATGGTAAAAGTTCAATTAATTTTTTAATAAAATAATTTAGTGTACAAAAGTTATTCAGTACTATTTTTGTAAGTACATCTCTAGCTAACGCAGGCAATAACAAATCAAAATTTTTCACGCGTTTTCTGGCTGTCAGGTCGGCTATACGCCAGTATATTCTAAGTCTATGGTCCGGAGTATACCCTTCTTTTATGTCTTCTTCTTCTTCTTTACTTTTTGGCTTCTCATATTAGAATTCTGCCAATGTCAAGTCAGTCATGGGAGTGACAACAAGGTAAATAAAATCTTATTTTTTATAACTTTTTTTTAAATTTTTTTTGATTGGCTTCTAATCTACAACAAAAGACAACACTAACATTTATAATTCTACCACCAACAATGATTAGTTTTATGTTACAACTTAATACTATTAGTATAAATAAAATCACATAAAATATGAACAAATGAGGAGAACACGAGAGAAAGCAGACAGGTAGAGTTAGTAGGACGTGGGATGTTTTGAGGAAGGATATCATACAAGGAGAACTTGAGTCGAGGACATTCGAAAAATATGTGATCGGTTGAACCTTCATCAAGACCACATTCACATAAAGAATTATCCCTTATCCTTAATTTGGCTAGGTATACCGGTGTGCAAGAATGACCAAACCGTAGACGGCAAATGGTTGATGTAGTAAATTTGTTAGCTTCACGATAATGGAAAAACCAAGGTTTGTATGGGATTGTGTCTTGAACCCGAGTGTAGTGTTTACATTTTATGGTTTTAGTTTGGTCCCAGAGACCTTGCCAAGATGCCATGAAGTCAGATCCTGCTAGCGGAAGCAGGTCATGGGGGAAAATTTGATACTGAGAGAGGATACCTGTTCGTGTTGCTTCCTTAGCCAAGAAATCAGCACACTCATTACCACGTATCCCAGAATGGCCTGGAATCCAAGCAAAAACAACTTTTAGGCCTTTCTTGTGACAATTATATAATGCTTTTTTTAAAAAGAGGATAGGGAAAAGATTTGATTTAGAGTGGAATGAGCTGGAGATAATGGTTTGGAGACAGCTAAGAGAGTCAGATAGAATTAAGGTATTTTCCAGGTTGTGAGATTCGGCATATAGAATTGCCTCTAAGATGGCAATAGATTCACCTGTGAAAACTGATGATTCAGGTGGGCACTTAAAATTTAATATTATTCTATATTTAGGGATCCAAACTGCAGAACCTACACAATCTTTGTTAGAAGTTTTTGAAGCATCTGTGTACATAATGATCCAGTCTTGCCAATTTTCTGAGATGATATTCTTTAATTTGCTGTTAGGATCAATGGTTTTCTTGTCAAGTCCAAAGTCAAGGATGACGTTTGGATTGAAAACTAGTGCTTCGTAGGGAGCGGAGAAGAGTAAGTTGTTGCTATTTTAGAAGATTGGAGATTGAATGTTTACAAACTTTATATAGCTTTTTAAAAGACATGGTATATCTTTATGTCGCCAGTATGGGGAAATTGAAATTTGTTGGTGAAGTGAGTTTAGTATATGGAACAGCGGATGGTTATGAAGAAAACACTTTTTGAACCAGAATTTGTCTGCTAGGTACTGCCTGCGAAGAAAGAGAGGACCCTCACCACACTCGACCTGGAGAGCGTTAGTGGGGGTAGATTTCATTCCTCCTGTTATAATGCGAAGGCATTTTACTTGAATTTGATCCAAAGTTTTAAGCGCACTTTTATTGCCTTGTTCCCACAAAAAGGAAGCATAGTCAAAATGGTTTCTAATCAAAGCATTATATAAAACCTTTTGGGAGTAAGGATGAGAGCCCCACCAAGCTCCTGATATAGCGCGAATGACGTTAAGATTTTTTTCGCATTTTGAAGCTATGTCGGATATGTGGGGAATTCCAGACAATTTGCTATCTAGTATAACACCGAGGAATTTCACATGGCTCACATTGGGAATCAATGAGTCTCCAATAGAGATTGACACTTCTGGGATGAGTCTTCGTCTCGAAAATACCACGATTTTACTTTTTGGGGGGGAGATGGATAAATCATGTTCTTGGAAGTAATATACCGCACGAGATAATCGAGAAGAGGCGTCAGGTAAAGAATGATCAGTAACAAAAAGAGCCAAATCGTCAGCATATTGGAGTATGTTGGACAGACAGTTTACGGATCTATCTAGATCGTGGGTATATAGGTTATACAGAAGAGGACTTAGAACAGAGCCTTGTGGAAGATGTATCTCTCTGGCATGAAATTACCCTCTACGCGCACTAGAACACGTCTTCCTGAATAAAGGTTTGACACAAAGTTCGTT